AAAAAAAAAAAAAAAAAAATGAAGGAAAAAAGAAAGAAAGGAAAGATTATCGAGTAGAACTTTTTCATTATTATTCACGATTTAGTAAAAAAAATTGAAATTGGATGGAATGAATTTCTAAATAAATACTTTCATTCTTTATTTTTTGTATTCATTGCGAAATATGCAAAGTAGTATTATGAAAGTGATATCAAATTGAAAAATTGTATTACATATTTATATGCATATACGTATGAAGAAAAATTGCGTCGCAGAACAACTTGCACAATTTACAAATAACGTGTGCGATCGAATCCGAACATTATAAATATATACATATGTATGCATATGTAAATAAAATCATTTTGTGATTAAATACTATATATATATATATATATAATAATTTTTTTCATTTATTTATTTATTTATGTAATTTTTTCTAATTTCACATTTTTAACATTACTTTCCGTTTGTTTATTGATTTAATTCATATTTTCAATATATAATCATTGCAGATTAATTGATCAAAGAAAGGAATATATTTAATTGTATTTAGAAAATATAATTGACTATTAGAAAATTTCCAATCCATTTTAAAATGTTTTTAAAGTCGAAAGAAAGAAGTTAAAAAAAATAAATTAAAAATTGTGAAATGTTATTCTTGAACGATGATGAAATTTTATTAACGATAAAACTAACGCGATATAAGCAATATATTAAAATAATATATAGATATATATTTATACAAATTTATATATTTTTGCACATACATATATACATATATTGCATTATTAATTATAATAGTGAAATTTATTTGTAATTAGAATTCTATTATGAAAAAATGCTCGATATATAAATAAATATCGAAATAAATTGGCGAAATAACGATTAACGATTGAGAATCACTGTTTGTATGAGCTTCATTAATCTGACCATGGTCGCTGGATCTTCGGGACTGTATCTTGTTGTCTACGTGTGCTCGGTATCGTGTACTTTTTTATATCATGTGCGTATAATATACTTATATTTAAGTGTAGTTATTCAATATATATATACATACATACATACATTATTGCCTCATGGATTTATATGTCAGATTTTTCTATTCATTTTAAATATTTTCAATTAATAATAGAATTATCAATTTTTTGATAAAAGAAAAGAATTTTTTCAAAGAAGAAAGAGATGATACGATCAGATCATTTTGATTGTAATTAATGCAATCAAAGAATTTTTAATCCATTCAAATGGTATAAGAATAAATTAGCTTATTATAAAATGAAAGAAGTAAAGCTGAAAGACAAAAAAAAGAAATATGAACAATTTTTAAGCAATAAGAATAAGGATAATAATAGCCGCGGTGATGATGGTAAATATACGAATCTCTCAACACTTGAAATTCTCGTAAGTCACCAGCTAAACTGAGTTAAGACGCTTTTAAGACCAGTAAAGGGTGTTAACCTTACTCTTCCGCTAGTTGATCGGTGACAGCTACTTGCTATCCAATATTATATGCCTATCATTTTCCCTAAAATTTCAATTTTACGAGCGGTTTGATTTTCTATGTTTGTGAATTAAATTTTTTATATCTAAAAAAAATTATAAACAATTAATCCCCAATGATTATAATACAATTTCTTTTTTTTACAATTTTTATCGATATTTATTTTAGTTCGATGGAATATCTTTGAAATTTAAATGATTCATTAAATGTTACATTAAAAAGTATTATTTATTAATTAAATAAAAATCATACAAAAATTGGAATTTTTAAATTTATTGATTTAAAACAAAAGTTTCTGTATGCAAAGATAATATTATTAATTTATTTTTGTGATATATGAAATAGAATTCAAATTTATTATAATATTCCTTTATCCCATAGATATTTATAAATATATATATATATATAAATATTATATTATATTATATAATGTTATGATATTATATATATATAATGTTATGATATAGAAGAAATTAATATTTTGATATAGAATTATATAATTTTGTTTACATTTTTTTATTACAATTAAATTTTTGCTCCATTACATTTTTATGATCAGTGTGCATATATTCAGTGTTCATATTTATATGCTATGATGCGTTTCATAGACGCATATATATCTAATAAAATAACGTACTCTTATATACATGCATATCGTTACAGCATTGCACCGGGAATAGATATAAATACGTATGTATATACTTCTGTGTATCTACGTATATGAACGGCATTAGTATAGAAACACATAGATAAATGGATATGTGCGTGTGCGCGGAGGGTAAAGAAGGTGTGTAGAGAGACCTGGCAACCGAACTCCCCATGGGGTCTACATAAATCAGAAACTCTGGTTTAAACTTAGCTTGAAGTATGATAGTAGAAATTTAGTTTCGAAAATAATTTTCTCTCTTTGAGGTTTACAAGAACACATGGTTCGTACATCGTTTTGAAAATATCAAAAAAAAGTTGATAGAAAAAATTATTGTTATATCATATTTTAATTGAATCTTATATAGATTTTCAATGCTTTGATTTTTTGAGCTATAAACGAGTACAAGAAAAAAAATGTGTGACATATAAGTTTGATTATTATTAGTTTAAAAAGATCAATACGAAAAAGATGAAAAATTACGAAAATTTAAAATATAAAATATTTAAGAAAGAATCGATTCACATCCGATTATCTCTAAATTAAAAATATAGATGCACATTTAAGAGCATATAAATGCAATAAATAAAAAATATATAGGAAAGAAAAATAATTGTTTCATTTTTATTCCAGCTTATGAATAATAAGACTTTCGATTTCAATTTATCAGAAAACTATATATAACCGTTGTATTCATGTGAAAGTAGTGAAACGAAACGAAACGAAACAAAACGAAAAGAAAGAAAACGAGTAAAAAGAGAAAAGAGTAGTCGTGAAAAGAAAAGAAGAGAGGAGGACCCGGAAGGACAGCTCACCTTCCGCGAATCCACTAGGCCACTGACTCTCGTCTTCTGTTGCATAACGAGTCCATCTCTCCGATGTGTTGGAATACATCTTGGAGAGATGCGACTTGAGAGTCACTGGACCATGTACCGGTTGTTCCACTCGAGGAATGCGGACTAGCTTGGTGTGGTGTGTGTAAGTGCACATGTACGTTCGTGTCCGCATCCAAGCCGTATCCTATCCGTATTCCTTCCATTTATACTCCTACTACTTACCTATGTATGTATATACATACGAGGATTAAATGCGTATAACTACGCATTCTTTCAAAAATGATTCTACAATTATTATTGTCATTATCTTTTAGAATATTAAAAGAAATTATTCGAAAATTTTGAAAATAATATATAACGACAATTTTTGTTCTGGTATTATTTTTATATCGATAACTTTTCGTTATTTATAACGAAATCGATGATTCAATAATTTCGTATCGAACCAACAAGTTTCGCATATTTCGATTAAAGTTTACATACAAGTCGATTATACATTACATTATATATGATAAAATATATGATGAGAAGGAGGAGGGGAGAGAAGAAAGAAAAATCAACTTCGTCATTCAACCAACATGTTATTCGATTAATATAAGCGAATACATTTATAAACAATCGAAGGAAGTAGTAACGCATAAATACATATGTAGAGAATCAGTTGGTTGCAGGCTTCTTGGACTACTGTATGTAAATTCAGTTTGCCACGATCTTTTTTTTCTTTTTACAAATTCCTAAAAAGAGAAAAAAAAATGAAGATAACATTATATATATATATATTTTTAATTTACATTCATCGAATGTTCCATATTCGTTTTCATATAAATTCGTTTATATTAACGAAAAATAAGTTTAATTTTAAATTCGATAAATTTATATCCTAATTCATATAATCCAAGTGAACCAGAAACAAAGTGAATTTATTTTTATAATATATATAAAGCAATTATAATATTGATTAAATAAAAATTGATTCGAATAAAAATTCAATCTATCGTTGCTCACAATTCATAAGTTATTTTAATTGTTGAAACTTATTTTTGATTCTAATATTTTAAATATTGATCCGAAAAGCAAATCCGTTTAAATTGAAAAAATATATCGTTTAATTTTATTCAGATATATATATATATGGGGATGAATTTTTAATAAATTGAAACATTTTAAAAAAAATTTAAAGAATTTAAATATAATTTAATTAAATTCAAAAAATGAAAATGATTTTAATCAAAAAAATAATAAAAACACAAATAGTATATACGATTAGAAAATTTTCGTTTTTGTCTCTGCGCGTCTATATAATATATATATATATATATATATTATGTTAAATTTATTTTGTATATTTAATAAACGATTTCGTGCATTTCTTATTGTTGCAGAAAAAGTAGAGAAAAATTGGAAGGAACAGGAAGAAAGAGGTGAAAGCAAAACTAAGAGGTGAGATATTCTTGGAAAATGGCGGCGGGAACGTGTCAATTGGCCTGAAGAAAAATTCAAAGAAAACGTAAAATGTGAGTAACGGAAAATATTTTTTTGTTAGAATTTCGCGTAATATTTTTATTTTTCATAACGGAAGGAAAATTGAAAATTTATTAAATATATTTCATCAATTGTATTATTCGATGAGAGAACGGTAGAATGGTAATTTTTTTTTTAATCAACGCGATTATGTTTATATGAGAAAATAAATAACGTTCGTTATTGGAAGAAAACGAAGTATCTCCTTCGAAGGAATAACGAGAAACGATCAAGATTTTGAAAAGAGGGATAAAATATCGATAATGATATCGATATTCTCGAATATTCTACGGTTATATTTGATAATTGTTAATGATTTTATTCGTGATTCTCGTGAATGAGCGTTGCTAAATCTTTTTTTTATTTAGGCAATATTTATCCAATTACGATAACTTATGCGCTATCCATTATCTAACCGCGATAATTATGCGTGTTATCGTTTCGATGACCAAAAAATAGGAAAAATCATAAATTCGATAATTTTGGCTAATAAAAGACGAACGAGTTATTCTTTTCTTCGCTATAAAAATTGAATTTAACATGATTTTATCAATCCGACCAAATTTATTTCGATTCGATTCGATTATTTTAAAGAGAAATGGTAAAAATATATATATATATATTTGTAAGAAACGAATTTAGGAATTCGACCGATTATCAATTTCTTTATTATTTATCAATTTCTATTTCTTTTTTGCTTT